TACCGTATCATCGAAAATGAACCATTTTTCGCGGCCTTTCTCTCGGTCCAAAAGTGGTTCCCAGCACGACCGCCAGGCATCGATGAAAATGTTTTGCGGCCAGGCTTCCCATGAAGCTTTCGCCATGTCCCACATCGCGTTGTAGGAGGCGGCATGCATTGTCAACCGAGAAAGTTTACGTTTTCAATGTCATCTCAACTTGAAGTGAAGGATAAAATGGGGTTAGACGGGGCCAGGGTTGAAAAGTCGCGAAGCGGCTTTTCAACCCTGGTCGTTATTTGAAAATGAACGAGCCGACTCGACTTAGTTGAATTTCCGGCTTAGTCGTATCTGAATAAAAACATCTCTAATTTGAACTACAGGGTGTCCCACAAAAAACACCGCCCTTTAACTCGACGCAGAGGTATCGAATCGAAATGATTCACCATTCGAAAGCCCTCGAAACGGCGAGTTTGCCATACTTCTCAAAAAAACCATGTTTTTATGGAAACGCGCTATACGTTTGTACGTTTTTAAACGACGATACGACGCATACGATAGGACGAAACGTTTTTAAATGCGTTAAAATGCCGCGTATCAACAAACATGGTTTTGAAAATTGTTGCAAACTGGCCGTTTCAAGGGCTTTTGAATCGTGTAACTACTATTTCTGTTAATTTGATAACAATCATCACTACATAGATAACAGTTAATGCTACTAACTAGCGTTCCGATCCGATAATTCTGCGTCGATTCTGTATTTTTTAGTCTTTTCGCAATTATCATAACTGTTTCCGGAGAAATGGTTTTTCAAACGGAATGAACTTCCGGCTCAAAATCCCAAAAGCATGCAGGTCAACTGCTAAAAACAAGTTCAAACAGTCTTGTTTGATTTGATCCTGTGGACCCCAAACCAGACAAGGTTGGGCTAAATTGCGGTATCCGGTCACTAAACGGATTTCGGATTTTTATATGTCAAAATGCTCAGCATGGCGAGCTGGTTCGGTATCAGTTGAAAAGACTTGGCGGCAACACTTCTATCTCGAGATATGACGCTTCAAAGTTTGACTTCAACCCGTGCATTATATAGCATATACTCGTCTCAGAAGTCAGTTTTCAGTGCGAGTAAAGATGGATAAGTGCTCGATCGGAGCTTAACTTTACTCTCCACAAACCAGTTTGAGCCTAAAAATAAGGCTTCGTGCCACCCCGGGGCCTAGTCGCTTCGGATGGGTGCGAGCTCGTACAGGGTTTCGAAAACGGGGGCGCGCGTAGCGGCCAGGCGTCCCGATTTCGAAAGAGTGGAGCAGCAGCCCATCCGAAGCGACGGCCCGCCTCGCCTGACAATGTTTTTTACCCAAAGAACGGTAATTCTATACCATTCCGTTAATTTGCGATGTACAGTTGGCGTATACAGGGTGTCCCAAAAAACGACCCATCTGGCATTTTGCCGTGTTACATCCAATCGGTCCCAAATTTGGACCAGAGGTGTATCAGACCCTAAATAACACAATCTTGACTTATGGCCCTGTAGCTACAGTAGTTCTCGAGTTATAGCAAAAACAAACTTTATTTTCGATCTTTCATAGGGTTTTCGTGGAATTAGACCCCCTAAACATTAGGTGAAAATGATCCGGTAGGCCTTCTTTACCGTAAGAAATTTTTTCTAGAGTAAAATTGATAAAATAAGCTTCGATTTAAACGATTTTTACAACGCAAAACTACCCCAGTTCTTAAGCGAGATTAGGGATTCGCAGCCGGAAGTCGATGCAAATCGATGCAAAGTCCAAAAACAGCCGATAAAACTTCAGAATTCCGGGAAAAACAGTATTTTCGTTATAACTTTAAAACTACTGTAGCTATGGGGCTGTAAGTCAAGATTGTTGTTATTTAGGGTCTGATACACCTTTGGTCCAAATATGGGACCGATTGGATGTAACCCGGCGAAAGGCCAGATGGGTCGTTTTTTGGACACCCTGTATAGGTGTATTGCGTACTACATGTCGGCCTGTCTTGAGACCTTGTAAGCTATATTTCTCATGATAGCGATTTTCCGCCAAGTTTTTTCAACTGATCCTGAATCAGCTCAATTTACTGAGCATTTTGACATAACCCACTCAGATTTTCGGTTAGTGACCGGATACTTATGTAGCCGACTTTGAAATGTCATATCTCGAGATAAATGTGTTGAGATAAGTTTTTTCAACTGATCCTGAATCAGCTCGACCTGCTGCGTATTTTGACATATAAAAATCCGAAATCCGTTTAATGACCGGATACCGCAATTTTCCCCAAGGTTGTTTTGCTCGAAACATTTCGAGCTCAGGCAAAGCACTCTTGTTTGAGTTGTCTGAATAATTTGTTTTTTGTTGTTTGAGTTATAACAACTCTAATTTGAAACAAATGAATGGAGGGAACACAGGAAAATGAGCATAGTAAATGGCCTAGGCAGGGTTAGCCTGGAGGCGATGTTTGCTGTTTGCGTATCCAGCCCGGCGAGGTCAATGGCGCGCCGTTTTCGTTCCCGCCAATTTGAATCTAAAAATACTGTGCATGTTGTAAATTGTGAGGAATTTACTAGAGTTGAAAAGCCGCTTCGCGACTTTTGATGATATTCTCCATATATATTCTCTGATCAGGGTGAAAAGCCGCTACGCGACTTTTTCCTAACAAAGAGGGTGACCAAGATTTTTATAAAAACGGGAATTTGGTTTTTAAAACAGCTGACTTTGTAAAAACTCAAACAGAACGTGCATTTGCATACAACTTCGATCAGCGGGTCCGGAGGATATCTCAAGAAGGGAAATATATTAGGCTACGTATGCAGACCCGTACGGGAGCCGAGATTTCGGGGGCAGCCACCCAAAAAATTTTGGCGACCTCCCCCCTCGACACTTTCAAAACCTTCGAAAATAGCGACAATGACAGCGCCGCAGGCGAAAAAATTTAGAAAACCGGGTTCGTAACGCTTAAATTCGTGTGAAAACACATCGGAAACGGCGCGCGCAGGCGAAATTTTGTTCAGCAAAATGGTGCACTAATGAAAACGAGCGCCGCAGGCAAAAAATTTTAGAAAAATAGGTTTTCTAGAGGTAAAATCGTTTCACAACAGTGATAAACAGTGCTTCGCATAAACAACACCGTGCCCCCGGTGCCCCCCCCCTCGTACGGGCCTGTACGTATGATACGCTATTAGGTGCGTAATCGATCTGGCACGCTGATTTATCATTAAACCAGGGTTGAAAAACCGCTTCGCGGCTGGCCCCGTCTTGGACCTATGAAAGTAGTGACTTTGCATAATTCTTTCCGAAGACCGATCACCAAAAATGAAAACCATGCCCTCCCTTCCTTTTTATAAGCCATTTCCACTTCCGCCGTATGCTAATTGCTTGCTAACAAAGAGGGAAGCCAAGATTTTTACAAAAACCTAATTTTAATAGCGAAAATCGAAGTTTTTCAAAACTTTTATGTGTGTGCAGTCGATTCCGGTCCCTTCTTTACCCTATGACGTTTCTTCCCTACCGAAAAAATGCTTCTCTGAGGCTGTAGGTGCGGAACATCCAAACGGAAGTGCATGCAAATATACACACACACACACAAACACTATTTTTTTATATATAGTAGGATAGTAGGATTACGACCAAAAATTACGACGAAACAAACATTAAATTTCGTTTTGATAAAAATTTTGGGTACCCTATTTGTTACCAAAAAATTTGCATCCGCCGGAAGTGGCGAAAGCCTAAATAAAGGGATGTCCTCTCGCGATGAGCCAGAAAGAGTGTTAGTTTAAGTTTAATAACAGAGATTTTCTAAAAATTGCATGAATCTGTTGCATAAACAAGAAGTTTGAAATAATGTTGTGAATTTGTTGAATTAAAAGGAAAAGCTCCCACTGGAAGCAAGGAAGTCAAACGTGTGGGTTAAAGAAGTCAAACGTTTAAGTAGACTGCGTCTACTTTAAAAATTTTAAAAAATTTCTTGTTTTAAAAAGTTATAGCATTTCAAATTTCGATGTTCCCAAATCCCAACTGCAAGATTATTTATGTATTTTGCCTTTCCCGGCTGATTTCTTAAGAAACAAGCATCGCCATCGTATTCAGAAAAATTTCCTCTATCAAAATTTCTGAAGAAAAATTTTGTTGCTCTAACCATTTCGAACCGCGCAAACGAAACAAGTATTAATTAAGAATGTGTCTTTTTATTGCTACGAATCAATGACATTTTTCCGTGGCCCTCGATGATTTGAATGAAGAGAACTATTTCCATGGCAATTAACATGTAATTTGCAAGCTCAACGCGCATGTCAAATCGATGCAAATTGTGGCTCTATCCTACTATATATAAAAAAAAATAGTGTTTGTGTGTGTGTGTGTGTGCCACTTTGCATGCAACTTCCGTCAGCGTGTTCCAGTAGTATCTCAAGAAGGGAAGGGTATTAGGCTACGTATGATACGTCATCATATGCGTAATGACCTAGGGATGACTGCACACTCATAAAATTTTCAAAAATTAGCGGTTTTCAATGTTAAAATTAAGTTTTTGTTGAAAAATCGAGAACCCTCTTTGTTAGGAAACAATTAGCATACGCCGGAAGTGGCGGTATGCATATATAAAAGAAAAGAGCGATCGTTTCTCTTTTTTGTGTCAGCGAAAACTGCGAGAAATATGCAAAATGAAGAATATCATGGGTTCAGACGGGGCCAGGGTTGAAAAGTCGCGTAGCGGCTTTTCAACCCTGGTCTTTTTGATATTTTTTTTGGCTCTTGTTGTTTTCATCATAAAAAGCTTAATTACCATCACAGAAAAATTTTGACTACACAGAAAGACGCGTCTTTTCAAGGGCTAAAAGATGTCTATGCGTGGCTAGGCATGAAAATACCTTTGCGAGAAGATAAAGGTCAAAAACCTGGCGGCCTAAAACCCATATTTTTGATACGCACTGTATTCAAAGTTTTGGCTCACTCTCCTGTTATCTAGAAATATCTAAAAATCCAAGCCGGTATTGTACCGTAACGACAATGATGCCTCTTATACGAACCGGCAGACTCGTATCGAGAAAAAAAAACGAGATAGCAAGGGAGAATGAGAGCGAGAGAGAGAGAGAACATTTTGCAGGTAATGCTCGATTTTTAATGCTTTTAATAGCTCATTTAGATCGCGGCTCGGTGTCTGGACATCCCAATCGATTTAATTCACATCGAGGAGACGGCCACGGATAAGGTACGGTATTTTTGGTCAACGTAGGCTAACATAATATGAATAATCAGTAATTCATCAAATAGCCCGGCATTTTGCATATCTGCCTGTTTCTCTGTCTCTCTCGCTCCCTATCTCTCTCACTTCTTTTCTCACTCTCTTTCCCTCCTTTATTTCGATATAATTTCAGGTGCCGAACGCCTCCCCGACAGCGGCCAGTGTTGGCTCGGATCTGTGCGGAGTGGCAGTCCAAAACGCTTGCGACCAGTTGACGGAACGGCTAAAGCCCTACAAGGAGAAGCTGGCCGATAAAACATGGAAAGAATGGGTGGCAGCGGCGTATATGGATCGAGTGTCGCTGTCGGCATCTGGATTTGGAATGTAGGTTTTAAGAAAAATGATTGAAGGCTTGGTGCTGGAGAGAGAGTGAGGGAGTGAGTGAGAGAGAATGGGTACGGGAGAATGAGAGAAAGCGGGGGAGAGAGCGAGAGAGAGGGAGAGAGTCGATGAGAGTGAGAGAGAGTAACACAGAGTCAGAGAAAGATAGTGAGCGAGGCCGAGAGAGAGAGAGTGAGTGAGAGGGAAGGGGAGGGAAGGCGAGAGAGATGGAGACAGAGAGTGATGGAGAGAGCGAAGAGAGAGCGAGAGCGAGGAGAGAGTGAGCGAGGGTGCGAGAGAGTGAGAGACAGAGTGGATGAGAGCGAGAGTGAGCGAGTGAGAGAGAGCGAGAGAGAGAGAGCAAGAGAGAGACAGACCAATTGCCGAATTCACAACGAGCCGGTCGACTTTTTTAATGGAAAGGGAGCGGAATTATTTGGATACTGTGTATACGGGACGGCTTGTTGCGAGGTGGAAGTGGATTGTTTGACTGGAGATCACAGGGTGGGTCAAGAATTTTTATTTAAAGGGACTGAGAAGGCAGACGAAAAACAAGTTTTTACCGGGCAGAAACCTGCATAGTTACTTTCAGCTCCTCTCTACGCACATTGTAATGGACATTGGAGACTCGCTAAATCCTGCTATTGACATCGGCCAAATCGAAGGAGCATTTATCCAGGGCTACGGATTGTTCACGATGGAAGAGATCCGGGTTCGACCAAATGGAATGAGATTGACAAGAGGTAAAAACCGGAAATTCCAATTTTTGAAGCTAGGCAGGCTAGCAGAGATTATTTGGGGATTCTTATGCTGCCTAAATGGGTTTTAAAAACCCGCAAAAAATTAAAAGTCAGTGCTTGGCAAAGTCATGTTGTTTTAAAAACCATTGCAGCCCGCTAACTTCCGCTTTTCAGGGCCCGGAAACTATAAAATCCCGTCGGCTGATGACGTGCCCAGGGACTTCCACGTGGCTCTTTTGAAGGGCTCCTCCAATCCGTCGGCGATTTTCGCGAGCAAAGCCGTGGGAGAGCCGCCGCTATTCCTGGGAGCTACCGTATTCTTCGCGGTTCGGGAGGCCATCCGAGCGTATCGCATTCAGAATGTACGTCAAAAATTCGCAATCCAGTCCGATTTCCGAACAAATCGAAATCAAAAATATCGGCCAAATCGGCAAAAACACGATTTTGAGCATTGTTCAAAATTTCTAGTTTTTTTTTCACCTTTACAACTCCTAGTTTTTTTTATTTCGATTCATAATTCACTTTAAGCCTTTTGAAATATGTTTCAATTTTAGGGCAAAAATGACTACTTCCGCTTCGACTCCCCGGCCACACCAGAAGCCATTCGAATGGCTTGCGAGGACGAATATTTGGAAAAGGTATCAAAGTTCCGAATGTTACTAGTTACGCTTTTTAGGTGCAATCCATTTCTCCTTTTTAATTTGAAAACGGTCACCGAATTTCAGATCCCCACCCTTCCGGAAGCCGGCACCTTCACCCCGTGGACCGTTCCCCTCTAAACTGTCGGATAGTGGCAGAGCTTGCTATTTATTTCAATAAAGAATTCTATGCTAGAAAATGAGCATTTATGCTAGAAAAATACAGATTAGGTAGCATGAATTGGGTTATGGTACTTTTTTACGAGTAAAATCGGAAAACGAGAGAAAGCGAGTGCGAGAGTGAGAGAGAGCGAATAGGAGAGACAAAGAGACAGAAAGAGAGAGAGAGTGAGAGAATGCTAGAAAGAGAGGAGAGAGAGAGGGAGAGAGAGACAGTGAGTGAGAGACAACGAGTGAGAGAGACAGACCATTTCATGATATTTATATTATTTATGTGCACCTGAAAGCCATATTCGATAAGCTGAAGACGTAAAATATCTAAAACAAGGTCAGGGTCGGATGTTGCCATGCTTTTTCCAACGCTTTCTTCGGGAAATCAATGTACAGCGGAGCGTCGCGTAGTCCCCAAAGAGTACGGGCTGAAAAATGTTGCTGAAAAATGTATCTCTCTCGCTCCCTCACACTCTCTCGCGCGCTCTCTCTCTCTTTCGTTCTCTCTCGCTCTCTCTCGCTTTCTCTCTCTCGCTCTCTCTCGCTCTTTCTCTCTCTAGCTCGCTCTCTCGTACCATTTCTTCTGAAATCCCTCCTCTCAGTCACTCCCTCATCATCAATCTCGACGTAATTCCACCGGCTTGTATCGAGCGGCTCGATTGCGGGTGGAATCCTAAAAAACGCTTTACCGTAGCCAAGCTGAAGCAAAGGCATGCTAGCATAGACTGCTTAGGAAAGTAAAATATGAACTCACCCCTCACGAAATCCGTCCACAACCTGGCCATCTCCCGGCCGGCCATGCCTCCTTTTCTTCCAAATAATAGGGAAAGATCATCTCCATGCAGGACGGCTAAAAATGGGTGGATTACGGTAGGTAAATTGGGTTTTCGAACGACTTTAAATATCACCTGTAACACCTGAAAAAGCAAAAACAAAAACAAAAAAAAACGGGATTCGGGAGGCGTAAATTTTCAATTTTCGCTCCAAATTGCGCTACTTCCATTTTTTGCGGCCATAAAATAAGCTGTCGCTCTGGGACCCACGTTTGTAACCGTCAATCAAAAACGACGAAGCTGGTTGTGTGAACTCGTAGAGGTACACGTTGGCTCCAAGTTTTTGGTAGTATTGTCCGCGAGGCAAAGAACGCGTCTGTCAATACCTAAGAATTATGTTAATGTTTATTCTATACCATAAATGAGCCAGGTAGTCCCAAAATCGACCCCTAAATCCACTAGGTCTCGTCAACCAACGTCTACTATACACCTTCCAAAGATGAAATGCTTTAGTTTTTGCCAATGAACCAGCGGTATGGCTGTCGAGACCTAGTGGACCCATGGGTAGATTTTGGGCTTCCTAGTCCCTTTAAAGGGGCAGTGACTGTAAAAAAAACTTACATCAATCGTTGTCTCCACCCAAGAAGACACATTAGGATTCATCGCCGAGAATCCATAGCCGTCGACCATTTTCCGCATCTTTGAGGTGATTTCAGGTCTCGGGAAGGCGAAAGCGAGGATCTAGAAAGCACCTAAATGAGATATTGCCATATTAGGGTACTGTAGATATTACTGTAGGGTACGGTAGCTTTAAGACAAACGGTAGAAAATCAGAATTTTGCGCTTTATTCGAGTACTTTATTCTCTTTTTACAGTTTTTACTCCTAAAAATTTTCAAGAATTTTGCGCAGGGCACTATTGCATTATCGGGGGGCCAAGTACGGCCAACAACTGTTTAGTCATCCGGCTCATTAATAGACACAACAGTGGCCCACCTTGGACACGAATTTCACCACCATCCGCCAGTTGTAGATGGCGGGGTCGAGCGTTTTCACGCCGTCCAGCATTAGCTTCAGTTCTACAGAAAAGTTTCATAATATTTTAGGCATCTTCCTACCAAAAGCCGCCCACTCGTCTCGGGTAACACCGAGGAACACTTCTAACGGCCTCGAAGAATTCAGGCTCGCGTTGAAGTTCTCGGCCATCACCTTGGGGATGTCTTTGAACAGCTCGCCGTCCACGACCAACGGCCAGCCGAGGAAGTTTTTCTGAGATAAAAATTACTCGTGAAAAATCTTGTAACAAAATTGATAGAAAATAGTAATGATCGCTACAACTACCGTACCTGATCAAAATGTTCCAGGACGTCATCAATCTCCCTGTATTCCATGTAGCTCTCCACTTCCTCCAGCTCGGATTTTGTAAGGTTTTTCGCATGAATATCCGTGTAGGTGGCCTAAAAACGTAGTATTTCTGGGTAGTTTCAAAGTTTAATTGTGCCATCTGACGGTAGTCCAAATCAACAATTACATTTTACTTTAACGGTCCTTTAAGAAGCCGCGATGCTCTTAAACTAAGAATTTTCCATATTTTTGCGTTTTTCGGGCTTTTCCTTTCCGCGCTCGCCAGATTACGATAGATACATTTATTATTTATTTATTTATGATATATTTTGATACCTACCGATTTTATCAATTTTGCCGAAACGTCGCGATAGCCCCAGGATCCGTCGAATGCCGATTCTGAAGTACCACTGGCCAGAATAAGCCGTGTGATGAGGCCTGAAATGGCAATTTTTTTTATATGTTCTGGATTACTGTAGTTTCTCGGTTTTGGTGGTTTCCTTACCATCAGCCTTTCCGCTTAAATACAAGCAACTGGCGATCGAGGCGCCGGCAGAATGCCCTGCTACCGTAATCGCATCCGGATCACCGCCGAAACTAAAAGACAAATACTAAGATGCAAAAGAGAGAGAGAGAGAGAGAGATAGGAGGAGGGAGAGAGGGAGAGGCTACCTCTCAATGTTCTTCTTCAGCCAGTTTAACGCCAGCAATACGTCATGAGCCCCAACGTTCGAATCGAAATTTGTTGTATTTTTGGAGGTCATCGGGAAGTAGATTCTTAACGTTCAGGAATCCTGAAATTCAGTATTACGCTTCACTTTGCTGCTCGATACCTAAGAATCCAAGTCGATACTGTACAGTGACGACGATGATGCCTCTGGAGACAAATCTGGAAGGGACGTTGAGAACGAGAACGAGAAAGAAAGTGAGAGAGTGAGTGTGGGAGAGATACAGAGGTATTAGGAGATAGTTCATTTCTAACCTCTCGATGACGACTTCTGGGTCCAAATTCCCATTTCCGGTCTGCAACTGGCCACCGTGGATCCAGAGTAGAACTGGTACGATGCCGGGAACATCCTGGAATCTAACGGTTTTGGATTCCATCAAAAAATTTTTGATGGATCAAAAAGGAATCAAGTGAAACTATTAATAACCAGCGCCCAACGCCCAAGGCCGCATTCCTGGAATGCGGCCTTTGCATGAGAAATTTGACTTTCCGATAGCTTGGGTCCTTCGGACCCCTCCCTTCCTCCGACCACACCCGCGCGTGCAACTTGCAAGAATGAGGAAATTTGTATTTTTTGGAATTATGCAAAGTAGCCCTCCCTGGCGCCGCACACACACACACACAGAGATACACGACCAAATTATATAAGGTAGGATAGTAAACCACTTATAATATTTATTTCAATTCTAACGTTTAGTCCCTCATGTGAATAAAATAAGGTTGGATGTTTTCATACAAATTTAGTATATTTTTAATTGGTCTAACCGAAAACCACTCCTTAAAGTACTAATCTGTTAGTAATGCTTTTTGCAAAAATACTTTAATATTTGTATTTTCACTTTTGTTTATAAACAAAAAGTCTATCCTGAAAATAATACCTCGGTACATAGTAAATAACTGAAAATAATTGTCTCAATTTAAAAACACATTTTTGTATAGCTTAACTACCGGTTAGGCCGCAAATACTTTTGGTAAGAAGTGCTTTTTAAGAGCAAATTTATTCAGTATTGCGAACAAAAATATCCACAAGCTGAGGCGCTTCGAACGCCAAAATTGACCTACAATACGTAATTCATAATTATCACGGGTGTCTAACAACAATAATAGTGAAGAACAGTAATAAACTGACGCAAAAATTACAATTATCGCTCGCAACTAAGGCTTCTGACAGTTCATAAGCTGAAACACCACGTTGATTTCATTTAAAACCTTAATGGAGCGTTTATAACTTTGTAATTTCTATTTAATATGGTTTTTTACATATTATAGCGAACGAACACGGGGTACAGGCCTGCTATTAGTGCGAGAAATTCCTTCCTGCACGCGCCTTCACATCTGCGCGGATGCGGATATCACATCTGCCATATGGAAGGAGTGTTAGACACGCAGTCCGCAAAGCCCGCACCAATTCCTAAATAATCACTGATCACATGATCACCTGATGCGTTCCTAAATAATCTCTGCCAGATTGCCCTGATGCGTTCCTAAATAATCACTGCCAGATTGTCCTGATGCGTTCCTAAATAATCTCTGCCAGATTGCCCTGATGCGTTCCTAAATAATCTCTGCCAGATTGCCCTGATGCGTTCCTAAATAATCTCTGCCAGATTGCCCTGATGCGTTCCTAAATAATCTCTGCCAGATTGCCCTGATGCGTTCCTAAATAATCTCTGCCAGATTGTCCTGATGCGTTCCTAAATAATCACTGCCAGATTGTCCTGATGCGTTCCTAAATAATCTCTGCCAGATTGCCCTGATGCGTTCCTAAATAATCTCTGCCAGATTGTCCTGATGCGTTCCTAAATAATCACTGCCAGATTGTCCTGATGCGTTCCTAAATAATCTCTGCCAGATTGCCCTGATGCGTTCCTAAATAATCTCTGTCAGATTGCCCTGATGCGTTCCTAAATAATCACTGCCAGATTGTCCTGATGCGTTCCTAAATAATCTCTGCCAGATTGCCCTGATGCGTTCCTAAATAATCTCTGCCAGATTGCCCTGATGCGTTCCTAAATAATCACTGCCAGATTGCCATGATGCGTTCCTAAATAATCTCTGCGATATTGCCATGATGCGTTCCTAAATAATCACTGCCAGATTGCCCTGATGCGTTCCTAAATAATCACTGCCAGATTGCCATGATGCGTTCCTAAATAATCTCTGCGATATTGCCATGATGCGTTCCTAAATAATCACTGCCAGATTGCCCTGATGCGTTCCTAAATAATCACTGCCAGATTGCCATGATGTGTTCCTAAATAATCTCTGCGATATTGCCATGATGCGTTCCTAAATAATCTCTGCGATATTTTAGGAACAAGGGCGAAAATCCGCAAGAATAGCTGCTCGAACATTACATGTGTTGATAAAAAGTCACCTTATATGCCTTCGTAAAGTTTCTCAGCTATTATGCACTAATATCATTTCCATTTTTTCCAGGGAATGAACCCTGTACTGATCATGATAGCCATTGGATCGGTAGTGGCAATTGAGCAACGCGATGTGCCGGAATCCATGGTGTACAATTTGTTTGACGATTTCTGGAAGACCGTGAAGCAAAACAAGGTTCTGTCCGTACTGATCGTGTTCGCTCTCGGAGTCATTGCCAAGTGGTTTGACTCTTTGTACAAGAAGTCGACCGAGCTGATTGAACGAGGAATGTGCTGCTGCTGTTGTGGACCGAACTGGGCAAGGTGTGTCCAACACTGGAAGGCGTATGACATCGCCAAAATTTTGCGCTGGATGCAGCCCCGGAAGCCCAGCCGAACGCCTTGCGAGTGGGTTTTTTTGAGGAATTGTCGTCGTCGTGTCACGTCCGTCTGTAAAATTCTCGGTCTGGACTGTTAGCGGGGGGATTTAGTAGGGGGAAACCACTTTCGCAATTTTTTATAGTTTTTATATTTAAAAACTATTTAACATGCTATCAAAGGGTTTATAATTTGTTATAGGGACAGGTCACAGGGAAAAATTTGGTCCCCCCGCTAACAGTCCAGAATCAAATTCTCATTTATAGGCACACCATGGAGCTGCGACCGATGAGCGCACAGAGTACCACGACGACAAGTACACAAACCGCGGGGCCCCCTCGTGAACCGCAACACACGACGAAAGTTGAAGAGCACTAAGCGGGCGACTTGGTTGTGTTGTGAAGACTCTAAAAATACAGAAATGTCCCGAATCTTAAAGACGAACTTTTTGAACTTGTTCCTTGCACGCATCAAGCTTGTTAAATGTGAATCTCATTGCTCTCCATCTCCCCCTCATCTACGATCAACTTGCGTAGAATTTTGCGCTAATTCCGAATACGTTTTCCAATTCTCCTAAATAGCTCTATTTTAAAAGTTACAGCGATTTTAAGCATTTTTGCCCACATTTTCCCATCTTTAAGGACCATTAGGTCGGTTTTCCAAGCTGATTTTCCAAAATTTAATATCTCCATCGGATTCAGTAAATTTTTCTCTATCGAATGAGCTCCTTATCTCAAAATGTTAAAAATCGAAAAAAAGCAACGATAAATTCTGGACAAAGGAGGCCTAGTTGCGACTAAACACTTAATTCACACTAAAAACCTCGTCTCGTTTCGATTGTTCTCATTCATATCCGGCATCTTCCTGCGTGCTGATACTATACGTAGCCTTTGTTGTGAAGACTCTAAAAATACAGAAATGTCCCGAAATCTCAAAGACGCACCTTTTGCACTTGTTCCTTGCACGCATCAAGCTTACTAAAAATATCGCCTGAATGTATCAGTATACATAATTATCAAAGATTTTGAGGCTTTAACCTTCTCACCAACAGCAATATCATTATTTGTTGTTAAAGTGTTCCAGGCCTGAAAAATCTTAAACGATTTCCGAGGGAGGTGGTGGTTCTTCAGAAGCGCAGGTTGTGGCAGCGTAGACGGTAGTGTTGCGTACCAGGCCCGCTGCTCGCGCCTTATGATAAAAAACTAAATTTACCTTCAAATAACCAATGTTTGCTTTTAAATGACCTAAATTTATTCAAAAAAATAGTAAATGGGCTTTCGCGAACACCAATGTTTCTAAGTTTGGTGAGAGTTTACTTTACCCCCCCACAGCAGCAGGATCTCAAAGTTTTCGTTATCTTCGCTATTTTTGTCGGGATTTTTGCAACGTCATTCGATAGAACGTCAAAAATATAATAAGAGTTATTATTGAGCCTACAGTAATGTAAAATAAAAAAGTTATAGCCAAAATCTTCCGACTGGGGGGAGGGGTAAAACCGTAGCTCGAAGTTTTTTGTTGTTTTAATCAGTTTTTTTTTTGCGTGATAGGTTCGAAATCATTGGGTATCGTGGATGAAACGATACAAAAATTCAAATAATGAAGGGAAGGCGGCGTCGGGGATGGCGATAGCTTAAAGTCTATCTCCCTAAAGCGAACCCTGAAACCCGTAAATTAGCTACTAAAATTAACAAAAACCGACTAATCGACTAATAAAAACACAATAACTATATATTACAACACCTATTACGTTAAAAAGTTTTCTAACTACCTCACACATATCCTACGAAGTTTTCGGCTCGATACATACATCCAACGTAGTATCGCAACACGCGGTCACCTATGAAACAAGGCGAAGAAGTATCTTATAGTAACGACTAACCGTTCTTAACCACTTTCGCTTTAGCTTCTTCCTTTCCTTTCGACTCGTCACATAGATTTTCACTTTCAAATATCTAAAGTTTATTTTTAATTGCTCCAAAATCTAGTATTAGCGCATCATATTCCCATTTCCCGGGCCAACACTACATACTACATCCAGCCCCGGAAACCCAAAAGAGATAGGCAAAAACAAAACACACAAGGTTTTAAAACTATTCTAATTTCTAATTTATACTTTTGCAATAAAATAACAACATAAATTCGATGAAAAGCGGTTCCTTAATGAGGGCGAGAGAGGGCGCCCAGGTGAGACTCGCAAAGACCCTGTTTTCCCCGCGTCACCGGTTTTTTGCCTTTGCTGACCTACGTGGGCCCTCCTTATCCCGTTAACGGCACGAAAAAATACTGTATTAAAATCACAATGAGGTCACGATAAAAAGATCACAAAAAATTGCAGCGGCATGTAAAATTGGGCCATTACTGAGCTAAATAGATGATCATTTAATTGAGCTGCTGATGAATGCTGGAGGCCACGCTGTGGATTTGGAGATCTGGCGAGATGACGGCCCCTCGATTTCCGGAAGTAGCCTCCACACGTCCGATGATCCAGGCCGGGAACCCGTCCAACTGAAAAGCAGAACAATTATCTTTTGCTGTTTGTTTAATTTTTTTATTTCTTTTAATGGAACACGAAATTGCGAGAATCCACCCTTGAATCTGAATACGCCGAGACTAGATTCGGGTTCGTCTAAAGAAATCAAGAAGTGCCAGAATCGACCCCAGCGTTCAACTAGGACTGGACAATTTTGTGCGACAGCTTCCTGCACCTCTTAGTCTCTTAAAATCTAACTACAAACCATCTCGATCTCCCTGATGTACTCGGCTGCGTTCTCCAGCGACATAGCGACGAGCAGACCGCCGGAGGTCTCGGCGGAGGTGCCTGAAATTCGAGAAAAATTTTTCCTAAGGACCAATTTTTTTCCATATAAATAGCGGCAGCGCTTCAAAACTGTTTATACTATCCCTAAACGTAAAAACTTTGCAAACATTTAGCAAAAAAATAACAAAAATATCGATTATTCGACGAAAAATCGCGTTTTTTTTGGAAAAATTTAACGTTTTAGATGGTTTTGTAGTGAAACTATAGTTTTATTATGCGAAAACATGAAAATACAGGTTGGAGTGCAGTTTACCCCCCCCCCGCCGCCACCCAACTTTTGTATCTCGGCTCCCTGTTCATCTACAGGTGTCTAAAGTATACCAAAATGTTCGTCTTGCTCTGGCGAGTGTTTTGGTATACTTTACGCACCTGTAGATGAACAGTGAGTCGAGATACGGTAGGTGGGTGCCGGCTGGGAGGTGGGGGGGGGGGGCGGTAAACTGCACTTAAGCAAAAATACTTTCTATTGAGTTAATGGGCATTTCTAGATTACTACAAAAAATTGTCCCTTCCCCGATAAGACGATAGAAGCGAAATTTGTGAAAAATCTGGCAGAAATTCTTTTCATCTTTTTTTTTGCCTTTTCATTCTCATTAAAAAGTCCAGAACTAGGCCAACGAACCCGTAAATAGGTTGAATCCGTTGCCGTTCGGCATCTTGGTCGCAATCTCGTCCATATATTCAATAATTGGCAGGTGGTCGATGACGAATTGGACCTGCTCCTTTTGGGCTCGAGCGAGGTTGTCGGCGTGGCCTAAAAAAGCTTATACATGAAAAAAATATTATAGTTTATTCACGTTTTCAAACTTGAAAAAATAAACCCAAGGGTAACAAATAAAAAGCCGAACCTACCTAGCATCCCAAATCCGGTAACATCAGTCGAGGCGTGGGCTTGATACTTGTGCAGCAACTTGGCCGCGTTTCGGTTGAGTCGGCACATTTGGACGGTTACCTGGAAAAAGCAATAAAATATATTTTTAACGACAACTTTACTAAATTAATTTTATAAATTAAAAATGCCGAAGAAGATTCATTAAATATGAATTAAATGGCTTAAAAGGAAAGAAATATCGTTTTCGAGATGTCAAAATAAGAATAAGCAAATATATTTTCTATGAAAAAATGCTATTAACGCTACACGAACAGAAATACCCTGTAAAATTCGTTTAACATTAATTTAAACGTTGAATGAAAGAAAAAAATTCAGCAAAAATAGCTAATATCACTTTATAAAATTCACACATTTTTTCTTAATTTAAAATTTTTAAAAACGCCCATTTACCTGCTGAAAAGCCTTCAGAATCTTGCATTCATCGAGACCGAGCTCCTCGACGCGGCCCGTCTTCTTCTTCAGCCACTCGTACGAATTTACAGCGACTTGGCCGCCAATTGGCTTTGTGAGCACGAGAACGTCGCCCGGCTTCGCTTGGTCTACCCTGAAATTAAAATTTCTTAACAAAAGGGGTTCTCAAGTCGAAATTCACAATTCTAGCCCCTTTTTTATTCCTCGCCCAACTTACCGTATGATTTCGTCATCCGCCGCGACGCTAGACGCAACGCCGCCAAGGAGAAGCCAGGGGCACCGCACGGTTTGCCCGCCTCTCACTTTCGTGCCGGCCATATCAGCGTTGTCCTTGAAGCCCTGCATGAACTGGCCGATGATCACGTCCCGAGCGACGCCGTCAAGTTCAACGGCTACCTGAAAATTAGAGTATTCCGGAATTTTTGTGATTTTAATGAAGCCACACCCGGTTTTGCAGGTTTCACAAGCTGCTCACCCCAAGGAGCATCAACATGTTGTCGCACTCCGATACGCCCATCGCGTACAAGTCGGACAGCACGTTGGCCGCGGTGATACGGCCCTAAAAAATAGTGTTTATATTTTTTTAAAGATATACATAGCTATGCTTATAATTAAAAACTACCATCAAGTACGGGTCATCAACGAGCGGGTAGAAGAAGTCGGTCGTCTGCACGAGGTTCAAGCCCTTGTGGCGGAGAGGGACGACGCAACTGTCGAGCCCGATGCCTGAAAAAATAGAAAAATATTTTTTTATAAAAACAAAAACAAATTAGACAACCAAAACAAATCATAAGCAAATGAAACAAAATTAAGTTCTTTTGATTTTTGCTTTTAAAATCTCTAGCTAAATTTAAACCCAAAAATCAAGAAACTTACCAACGCCCGCATCATTGTCGATGACCATGCTGCCGTCGTCGAAGGTTTTTAGGAGCTCGAGGAGGACCTAAAAATTGAATTCTCCGCCGGAAACCTGATGAACAAACCTCTCTGGGCACCTTGCACCCACACCCCTTCATCGCCGTCAGCTTGGTGAGGATGAAGTCGGCTGGCAGCCCGTGGTCCTCCGGCTTGAACCCGGCCAGCGCGCGTTCGATCACAGAAATCGCGGGAGCGGACATTTCTGAAATTTTTATGTGAGAGCGATCTTTTAGGATTTTTAAGAAAAAAACAGAGCCATTTAAAAATTCCTGTTTTCTTTAAAGGAGCTTCAAAGATTTTAAAAGACCAAAAATAAAGCGAGAGAATCAAATCCACATGGAACGGCGAGATAGAAGCCGCAATTCGCAAATTGACGCCGTCGGGCGCTTGCCCTGGGGATCAAATTACACCAATTTTGGGCAATTTATAGATTGCTGGTCCCCTCAGAAATTCAATAAAACGACTTTTTCGTCAAAAGATGTTTCACGAGAATAAGCGATGAGCTCGAGGATCCAGAAATTATTTTTATGAGTCATAGCTGTAAAGTGGTGCTCATCCCGAAGCCTATCGCGGTATGTTTTGTCTGGAACGTTATTGAATTGCCGATAAAGCGAGGGGCAGCATAAAAAATATACTATTTTTCACCTCAGGCACTGACCCGAAGAATATCCCTCAAAAATAGGCTTTTGTCAGCAGAAAACGCAAGCTATGTGGCAAAAAAAGTTCCAGCTCAATGCGCACAAAGTACATCATGTTCTGGTTTTAGGCGGGGTAAAGAGACTAGAAAGTTGATAAACAAGACTAGAAAGTGGTAAAGTTCTATCTAATCGACTAGTTTAACCATATTTTACAAAAACTAACATTATAAAAGTCGATCGCAGAAAAAGGACGGATCCCGAACCCCGATGACGTGAAGCAAAGAGATAAGCCCGGCATAAAGGCTATTCCCCTTGTAAAAACGAATCATTATGCCCATAGATTGAAAAACTAACGATAACGTTAAAATTTACGCATTTTTTATTGGAATTCAACGTTTTTTGGCTTTGAAAAACGACGTAAATTTCCAGTTGACGAAATTGTTTGTTGTTTAGGGTGATTCCGCAGGAGTACTCCTTGCAATGGCACGCTGCTGCACTGCGGCAAAGCATCTCGCCGTGCAACGTTTGTGGCAAAAACTGGGCCGGCGGAAAAACAACATTTTTATCTTACTAAAAATCTCGGTTAGTAAAGCGCCCGCGGGCGCAATTTCGGGCGCGCCCTCGGGCGCAATGGCCAAAAGCGCCCGCGGGCGCGCCCGAAACTCGAAAGCGCCCGCAGGCGCGCCCCAATCGCGTTGTAACGGCGTAGGACGGGTTCTTTTAATGCTTTTATTAGTTAAAAAAAGGGCACTACATAGCTTTTGGCGATGCTGTACCCTATACTTAATGTAGATCTTCACGTTCCCTGAGAAAATGGTCGTACTGCGCACCTGAAATATGTTTTTTTTTGCTTGTTTTGGCTTTAGCTTCGTTTGGAACTTACAGATACGTTCGAATGCGCGATAGATGGCCCCTAAAAGCATAGTTAATTACATAATTTCCTTTATAAACTTCGTAATTAGCACTTACTTTGTTCCCGCTTCCTGAAAACTTGCTTTGACTTGCTTCTTGCCGACTTACTTTGCAACTCCGCCCAAAGATACCGGAAACGTCGCGCTTCGCATTTGCAATGATGACCATGATCGTCTGAAAGGTCGGCTCATATAAATCGAGAATCTATAAATCTGACTCTAAAGTATTTTTAAAGTTTCACAGGGACTGGTTGCGTAGCAAAACTTTATCTTCGTTACCTGCGCCATGGCGCTTCAAAGTATTGTATTCTACATTCGACGACGATAACCAAGCAAATCTAGTAACGTTTGCGCTAATTTATATATATTTTGAACAAAAATAAGTGCATAAGCCAGGAACTTAGCCGTTTTTTTTGCAGAATTGAAAGGTGTTCACCATTCAAATGCGCCCGCGGGCGCGCCCCTAGTTGCGCCCATGGGCGCTTTTTGCGCCCCGAGCGGTTTTGCGCCCTTTTGCAGAAATTGCGCCCGGGGCGCAAAAGGGTCCAGTTCGGGCGCGCTCGCGGGCGCTTTGGGTTTTCGGGCGCGCCCGCGGGCGCTTTGCTAACCGAGAAGCTTTTTTAATATTAAAAATTGTAAAATATGGAACTTTGGCAGTCGAATATAAAGTTTGGGATTGAGTATCTGATCTGAAACAACATTTCGTGAAAATCCACCTCTAAACGACGATTTTATGATGAACCTTCTTTCTTCCTTTTTTATAAATTAGTTGTACCAAAATTACACTCAAAATTTTCAGAACGATGTGGGACTCGTTGGTCCACTACCTCCTACTCCCGCTACTCCCCGTCGCTTTCATCGCCTTCATCATCCACCAAATCCGGCACATCTTCGCAAATCGACGTGTCCCAAAGTCCGTCGCCTTCTTCCACCCCTATTGCAATGCCGGCGGTGGTGGCGAACGAGTGCTGTGGGCGGCCGTCCGAAGCGTACGCGCCGAGCACCCGGATTTGACGTGCTATATCTACTCCGGGGACACCAACGCGACCAAGGAATCTATTCTGTGGAAAGCGCACACCTTTTTCGGCATCGAACTTGACGGAAAGAAGCTGGAAGTTGTGTTTTTGAAGAGCCGACGCGTCGTGGAGCCCCAACTTTACCCCGTGCTCACGCTGCTGCTACAAACACTGGCCGGCGGAGTGCTAGCTTTCGAGGCGCTCTGGAAGTTGACGCCGGAGATTATGGTCGATTCGATGGGCTACCCCATGTCTACCTTCGTTTTCAAGCTGTTCGGTGCCACGAAAACCGGAGCCTATATCCACTACCCGACCATTTCCACGGATATGATTGACGTGGTGGCGCGCCGGCAAGCCGCTTTCAACAACGCAAACACTAGCACAGTGTTCAGCAACTTGAAGCTGGTTTATTACTACCTGTTCGCGGCCTTCTACCGCTTCCTCGGTCTCTTCGTCGATGTGATTATGGTCAACGGCACGTGGACGAAGGGCCATATCACCTCAATTTGGCATCGCCAGGACGTGGAACTCGTTTTCCCGCCCGTCAACACCGACAAGTTGCGCGCATGGGAAAACAATGCTGAGGAGCTGTTCAACGATGAGATCAACATCGTTTCGGTCGGCCAGATTCGTCCCGAGAAAAATCATCGGTTGCAAATCGCGGCGCTGAAGCAATTTTTGGACGGATTGGACCGGGAGAGGTACCCTCAGAAAATCCGGCTTTCGATTACCGGAGGCTGCCGGAATCAGGACGATCAGGATCGGGTTGATGCGCTGAAAAAGTACGCAGAAGAGCTGGGCGTAACGAAATCCGTGGATTGGCAATTGAACGTAAAGTCTGACGAGCTCGAGCGATTACTGCAAAACTCGCTTATAAACCTGCACACGATGCGCAACGAGCATTTCGGGATTGCGGTCGTTGAGGGCTTGGCATCCGGCTCGATTATGGTGGCGCACAACTCGGGTGGACCGGCGATGGACATTGTTGTGCCCGAAGGTGAAGTCGGCTTTCTGGCCGATACCTGCGAGGAATACGTGGCGCGGATGAACGAGATCTTGGCTCTCGACGGCGAGGTTCGGGATAATATTCGACGAAAAGCCCGCGTTCACGTCAACAAGTTCTCGGAAGCCCAATTTGATGATAGCTGGTCGGCGGCTTTCGCGAAATTGGTGTGATTCGGATGTTTTGTTTTGCATTAAAACAGAAACTTTGGCCAAAGGATCAATTTTTCCAGGTGATTTCTGCTAGCGCTTTCTGCTTCTCTTCAAACATGTTCTTTTGTATAACTTCGAAAAACCAAAAATTTCGTCCAAATATTACTTTTTCCCAGATTTCCCAACCCTTCAAAACGATTTCCGTCAGCTCCCACGTGTTTTTGAGTTTGCTTTCTATCGCCTGCTTTTTTGCCTAATGCTTCTAAGCATTTTTAACCAAATAATACTTTCCAAATGATTCGCTAGGCTTTCGCGCTCGTTTTTGCGATTTTAAAACCATTTTGAAGGTCCCGCTGTTACGTATTGTGATTTTTTTCGAAGATCGGGTCTGGATTTTTTAGCTTCCCACCTTCTAGTTCCCCGTTTTTCACTTTTTTTCTGGGTTCGAATTTCCATTTTATTCCGGTTTCTTTCTCTTCTGTGGTAATAAAGAAATTTAGGCGAGAACCAGTTGATGATGGCAGCGACAAATCTGGCGCGCCGACGCCAGCGGCCCACGTCGGGCAATCTGAGGCTCCGGCGGTTGACCCAGGCGTATCTGGCGCCGTCCGGCTACGTGAACCCGAGCCAGGCGAGTGTGCTCAGCAAAATGGACGCGATTTATGATACTGGTCAGTTGGGAAAAGTCTGGAAATTGCGAATCTAGTGTAAAAGTTGTTTTTCTCTCGAATATCTCGTGTAGAAAAGTAAATATGTAGCCTAGAAGGGTCAAAAAATATAAAAAGTTAGGTTTGTTTTTAAAATAACAAATCATTTTGGACGAATACCCCATGCACATAAAATTCACCTTGACGAATACTGTCCAGAAAAAGTCTGCGTTTTGACGTCTATACAAGAAAATACGAATTTTCAGTCGCACTCATGTGAATAGGCGCACCTTAAAAAGGTTTATGTTTTCTAGACAAGTTTAGAAAAGTCTAAAAGTTCTTGAATCTACAAAAAAACTTGTTTTCAGTCGAATACCTCATCCTGGAGCAACAGAGCGTCACGAGCGGCCTTTTCCCGCGATATTCAAAAGACAAGGATGTGGGCTACGTGAAGGACAGCATCTACTGCGCGCTCGCCTGCTGGGCCAGCTCGATCGCTTACAAGTAAAAAAAGCGCCGATTTTCTAATTTTATCCAAAACTCTAGGAGACTCGATGACGATCGTGGCCGCGAGACAGAGCTTCGGCAAACGGCCGTCAAGACGATGCGCGGAATCCTTTTCTCGTGGATGCAACAGTCAGAAGCGGTAGGTTAACACTGGTATATGAAGATCACCGACTTTTAGCTCAACAAATTCAAGTCGAACAACTCGCCCGAGCACGCGCTACACTCTCGTGTTGATCTCCAGACCGGGATGACGCTGGCGACGCCAAACGAAAAGGTAAAAATTGTTATCTCGTGACCTCAACATTAAAAGTGCAAATTGATGGTTTTCATTAAAATCGAGATTAAATAAAGCTTTTAATTTTCGTCGATCTAAATCGTGTTCGTGTAAAGATTAGACGCTCAAAAAATTATGAATTCATATATTTTTTCGATTGACGATAAAAACTTTCTAAAAACCTAAGCGTTTTTGTTATTTTATAAAAAATACAAAATCTTTTTTAGAGCTATGGCCACCTACAAATGGACCTGGTGGCGCTGTGGCTGCTGGCTGTTGTACAGATGATCGTCGGCGGCGAAAAGGTTGTTACAAATCAAAAATGAAAATAAAAGATTATTTTTTAGGTCATCTACACGCACCACGAGGTCCAGTTCGTGCAGAATCTCGTCTTCTACATCGAGCGCACCTACCGGACCCCGGATTTCGGGATGTGGGAACGCGGGACGAGATATAACAAGGGCGATCCGGAGCTTCATGCCAGCAGCGTGGGCATGGTCAAAGTAAGTATAATTCTTTATTTAAATGAATTTTTTGATTTTTAATAAACTTTACCTAGAAAATAACTTTTATGTTCTTTATGTAAATTTTGCGCTCAAATATTACACGTAATTTTAGGCAGCCCTGGAAGCGGTGAACGGCTTCAACCTGTTCGGCTCATACGGCACATCCTCGTCGGTCATCTACGTCGATATTGATGGGCACAACCGAAATAGGACGACATTTGAGACGATTTTGCCTAGGGAATCGGCTTCTAAGGTATCTATTTGAATAGTGATTTGGTCACTATTAATATTTTATTTTTATTATCTAAAAAGTTAATGTTATAGCATGTATTTTTCAAAATTTGTCACTTAAAAATTACGTTGAAATTATTTAAAAAAATATCAAATTTAGACCACCGATGCCTCGCTGGTGATGACCATCGGCTGGCCGGCGTTCGCCACCCACGACACTGCGCTTTTCTCGAAGTCGATGGAGAAGATCTACAAGCACTTGGAGGGCAGATTTGGCGTCCGCAGGTGGAATTTTCAAATTTACGTAAACTCAGTTTCTAGGTTTTTGCGCGATGGCTACCGCACTGAAATCGAGGACGCGTCCCGGAATCATTACCACGACCACGAGACGTCCCGTTTTCACAACATCGAGTCGCAATTTCCGATGTTCATCTGCGTGATGTATATTACAGGTAAAGATGATAGATATATCGATATTTTTCAGAATTAAGAAAATTTGCAATCGGACAGAATCAATCGAAAATTATACCACGTTTTCAGCCAGCATTCGCGGCGACACCGAGGTGGCCAACCGCTATTGGGAAAAGCTGCAGGAGCTGCTCATCGACGATATGGATGGTACGCTAAAATAAATAAAATCATAAAAAATATCTTTTAGTTCCCGGCGCCAAAATCCTGCCCGAGTGTTACGTGGTCGACGAGCTGAACTACCAGCAGGAGCGCAGGCAGCCGAATTCCACCGATTTGTACCCGCAGAACCCGTCGGAATTTGGGCATCATTTGTGGACGAACTCGCTGTACATCATAGCGCTGTTATTACGTGGGTTCTGAAGACTCCATTTTTCTACCCAAATTTTAGGCGAAGGCCTCGTCCACGCCGGCGATATTGACCCGATGACACGCCATCTACCGGCCAGCCAGCGCCCAAAGATCTTCATCAAGCACAGCGCTTTTCAGGTTGGTTAGTAGTGAAAATGAGAATTTTTTAGGGATGCTGCGTTTTAATTTTTTTCAACTCATTCTCCTAAAAATAGGATACCAAATTTCATAGATACCAAATAAAAAATGTTTTTGGGAAATAATTATTTCCGAAAAGTGCGTAAAAAAGTTTTTGGGGTTCGATGGAGGGCGACCCCGTCGTCCAAATTGCGCTGATCGCCGAGTCCGCTCGGCTCCAGATGACGTTGTCGACTTACGGTATCGCCACCCAGACGCCGCATGAGGTCGAGCCGGTGCAGATTTGGCCGAGTTGGCGGCTGGTGAAGGTGGGTTAAGATCTGAAGGCCCCCAAAAAGCGAGAATTCCGACACCCAGAATATCGATACTAAAATACCGATCTCTAAAATCGTTTTATTCATGCTTTGAAAATTATTTTTGGAAAGCTGTAAAGAATGTGGCTGGCGAGCGTTTTGCGACTTATCATATTGCGCATCATTCTTGTCGATGTTTTAGGTGTTGAAATTCTGGATGTCGGCATTCTTCGACACACATCATCGGGATAATGCCGATACTCAGAATACCGACACTCATAATTCCTGAATTCCTTTTTATCGATTTCATCGAATATTCGGAAATTGGCCGAGTTAAGGATTTGTCAGCATTATCAATCGTCGATATTAGGAGTGTCGGTATTTTAACGGTATTCTGGTTGTCGATATTACACGCAATTTTCATCCTGCATTCCATCCAATTCAGGTCTTCGAATGCCTTGGACGAGACCCAAAGCTTCTGCTCGACGGCAGACCCCCAAGACCGTTCGGGCCGCTGTCAACATCGAAGGTATACGGTTTTTCCGAGTTTTTCACTACATCATCCGTTTTTAGGTGTACCGCGTATTTGGTGACACCGTGATGTGCTACCCGCTGCTCTTCGAGGTAAAGGATTTCTACGTGGCGTCCGATCCGGCGATTCTAATTGACGATATCAAGGTGAGAAAACCAGATTTAGCTCCAAGTCACGGTACGCGGCGTACGCTTGAGCAACGTACGAAACCCTGAAGTCCATCGTACGATTAGATTTCCATCGTATTCTTACGTACGATTAAAAAAATAAGCATTTTTAGCACGAAATCGAGTTCATCGCCCGTCGTTGGAAGCTGTCGGGGAGGCCGACGATGTGCGTCTTGTTACGGTAATTGTTAAATTCCGCGGGACGCTTTTTTACAGTGAGGAAAACGTGCTCGGCCCCTACTTCGACCATATGATGGACCTGCTCGTGCAGCTGAAGAATGGCTTCGTCGGCGGGATCAGGGTTCGGCTCGGCAGGGTTCATGTGAGTAGTTTTGATGCTACATGGAGCTCTGTGTATAGTTTAGTATTTTTAGTATCAATAAAAAGGCTTATTATTTGTGTTAAAAAATCCGACCCTAAAACTCTAATTTTAGCAGCTTCTGAATTCGGCCTGCATCGAGCACGTCGACTTTGCGAACTCAGATGACGTGGAGTTTGATATCGACAAATTAGAGGAAGACGATGGTCGGCTCCAGCTTGAATTTTTGAGGAATCGAATTTTAGGCCCCGGCTCGGATTATCGATCAAGGACAAGCCTGAAGGAAGCGGCCAACGACGACGAGACGGTCGTGGAGGTGCGGTCTCTCTCTCTCTCTCTCTCTCTCTCTCGCTCTTTCGCACTCTCTCGCTCTCTCTCTCTCTAATATTCGATTTTCAGTCCGACTTCACCGCGATGAGCGACCACGCGCTCTATGAAGTTCTCGTCCATGACGAGCCGGAAAAGCTGCGCGCGACCGCTTTTGCCATTGTGGCTTTTTGGCGACGGGCCGGGCCCGAGTTTATGATCGGAACAAGTAAAAACCTTGATTTATAAAAATGTATGTTTTTAGCCACACTTCGCGAGCGCCTCGAGAAAATCTACCGCACTGCCTGCCAACTGCGGCTCTGGTGGCTAGTTCGGTGAGTTTATGGGATTATTGGATTTTTCGCTTCAAAATATGTTGAAAATTGAATTTTTTATCAACAATATTTCAAAATAATTATGATATTTGGCTAAATATTTTATATATTGAATTCGAAAGTAATTTCCTTTAGATACTGCGCCGGCCACCTCCAGAAAAGCGTGAACAGCTTGGCGCCGTCGATTACCAACCTGTTAGTGCGTGGCAAACAGGTAAAACATCGAAAATTTTTTATTTTTGTTTTTAAAGTAATTATTTTTCAAAAAGCAAAAAGCAAAAATCTTGCGCGGTCCAGGAGTCGAACCCGGGTCGCTGGGCTGGGAATCCCAGAATGCTGCCGCTACACCAACCGCGCTCCCATGGGCGGGGCGCGGTTTTTTATTTTTGTGCGGGGGCGGTGAAAATTTTCACCGAGTGAGCCAGGTGGTGAATTTTGCTGTTTTTTTTTAGTTTTAGGTTCAAAATAAAGAAAAAAAGATAAATAAGAAGAAATCGGAGTTAAGAAAAATTTTGAAAGCTTGAGTTTGAAGGAAAAACATCCAGCTTGTCTATTTTATCCTTTTTTTCTTTCTAATTTTTTTCCTATAAGCCCATAAATGCCTCGTATGTATGTTAGTCGTCTTTTTGGTGAAATTTAGCTATCTTTCATCTGGAAAAGCTATCTAAAAACTTGCAACCTTTTTTAAAATCTAAATTATTTTTGAAAATCGGGATTTTTGGATTTTTTTGATAAGAATTTTTTAGGTCCTGCTTGACTCGGCAATTGGGATTGCATTTCTAAAAAATGCAAAAAGAAAAAGTGTAGCCTGGTCCAGGAGTCGAACCCGGGTCGCTGAGTTACTAATCCCAGTATGCTGCCGTTACACCAACCAGGCTCCCATGGTTGGACCCGGGTTTTTTGTTTTTCTTCGTAAATAATGAAAATTTTCATCGGAATCTCCAGATGGCAACTTTTTCGCTTTTTTGGTTTACGTCGAAAAAGTAAAAATAAGGCTAGAAAAGCTTCATTTGGGAGGAAAGACAGCTTTCCGGATGTGGCGCGGCGGGAATGGCTGTAAATTTGCATTTTTCACAAAAAAAACAGGGGTTTTTTCAGGTGGTTTTTTTGGTTTGTCAACACAAAATGAAGTCTGAAAAGCTTCATTAGCGGGAAAAGCCGGTTTCTAAATGTGTTCGTGGGAACTACGCTAAGGTTGGCATAGAAAACGTAAAAAGAAAACAAATTATTGAAGCAAATTTTCCCTCGCTTCTTGCAAAACCCGCTGTTTAGAATGCAGAGGTTAGTAGAAAACATGAAAAATTTGATTTTCAAGTCCCTAAAAAATTCGGCACGGTCCGGGATTTGAACCCGGGTCGCTGGATTAGTAGTTCCTGCATGCTCGCCGCTACACCAACCGTGCCCCCGGGGTGGTCGCGCTCGGACGATTTTTGTGTTTAGGCGTGAAAATTTTCATCTGATTGGTCCAGTTGTGATTTTTATGGTTTTTCAACGAGCCGATATTTCAATCGAAAAAATGCCAGAAAGGGAGGCTAAATTGCGGTATCCGGTCACTAAACGGATTTCGGATTTTTATATGTCAAAATGCTCAGCAGGTCGAGCTGGTTCAGGATCGGTTGGAAAAACTTGGCCGCAACGCTTCTATCTCGAGATATGACACTTCAAAGTTGGCTACTGAAGTATCCGGTCACTAAACGGATTTCGGATTTCTGTATGTCAAAATGCTCAGCAGGTCGAGCTGATTCAGGAACAGTTCAAAAAACTTGGCGGAAAAATCGCTATCACAAGATATATAGCTTACAAGGTCTCAAAACAGGCCGACACGTAGCACACAATACACCTATATACGCCAGCTGTACATCGGAAAGTAACGGAATGGTCATTTTTCATGCTACTAGAGATCACAAGTGCTCGATAAGAGCTTAGCGTTACTCTACTCTACACCCAGTTTGAGCCTAAAAATAAGGCTTCGTGCCACCCGGGGCCTAGTCGCTTCGGATGGGTGCGAGCTCGTACAGGGTTTCGAAATCGGGGCGCCCGAGGAGCGCGCAGCGCCCAGGCGCCCCGATTTCGAAAGAGTGGAGCGGCAGCCCATCCGAAGCGACGGCCCGCCTTGCCTGACAATGTTTTTGACCCAAGAAACGGTAATTCTATAACATTCCGTTACTTTCCCATGTACAGTTGCCGTATATAGGTGTATTGTGTACTACGTGTCGGCCTGTTTTGAGACCTTGTAAGATATATATATCGTGATAGCGATTTTGCCGCCAAGTTTTTTCAACTGATCCTGAATCAGCTCGGCCTGCTAAGCATTTTGACATATAGAAATCCGAAATCCATCTAGTGACCGGATACTTCAGTAGCCAACTTTCAAGTGTCATATCTCGAGATAGAAGCGTTGCCGCCAAGTTTTTTCAACTGATCCTGAACCAGCTCGACCTGCTGAGCATTTTGACATATAAAAATCCAAAATCCGTTTAGTGACCGGATACCGCAATTTTCCCGAAAGTTAAAGTTAAATCAAGTGGAAGCAGAAAAAAATGCAAAAATTAAAATCTACGAAACTTTTTTGTATTCCAATTATCGAATTGACGATATAAACTTTTTTTAGATCACCGTCGGCGTGCGCAGTGTGAAGGAGGTGACCATCTCGACGCCGATGGCCCCGCAGGAGCTGTTCACGCTCTTGTTTTCGTGCTGCCCGAAGGAGGAGCCGCAGATGGCGTGCATCCAGCAGGAGTTGATCATTGCCTGCGCCGATTTGGTCAGTTTTTCGTGAAGAAAATGATGCTAATTTGGACTAATTCAAATAGCTAATGCTAATTTATTACATTTTTCAGATCGGTCACAGCCCCGAGTCTTTCTCCGGCGTGCTGACCGTCCGGATGTCGTGGCTGGCCGACGCGATTCAGGTCGGCTTTGTAATTTTATAATTTTTTCTAGACTTATTATGTTGAATTTAAAGCGTTAAATGTATAATTTTTTAGATGCTCCTCTCCTACGTGAACGCATCGGAAGCCGTGTCGGACTCGTCCCCCCGCACCGGCTCCCTTCACTTCACCCCGCCGACTCCGGGGACAACGGGGATTCCGCACGGTTCGTAAAATTTAACTTTCGGAAAGAGTCCTCTAAAAAAAATTCCTCAAAGACCTTGGCTAGTATGCCCTCTTGGCTCGTTAAGTTTTATGCATAAAAAATCGGAAAATCCAGTAAATGACGTGCTGAAAAGCTTTTTTTACAAATAAGTACGACTCCCGAAAGAAAGATCTCTGCTTGCACGTTTTTATAAACGTTATTTCATCAAAAAAGGCTGAAAACGGGCAAATTACTTGTCGAAAAATGTAATTTTGGACTTGAGCAAAAAAATACACTGGGATTCCGAAGGAATCTTTACTAGTTTACACCTTTTCCCACGAACTTGAACAACGAAGAAATACGTTTTTAAGGCATTTTGAGTATCTCTGTCGCCTTCTCTCTCTCTCTCTCTCTCTCTCTCTCTCTCTCTCTCTCTCGCTCGTGTATAATTTTTTGGTTGTTTAAATTCGGCTTTGAAGAGGCCAAGAAGCTTCGAATCTCGTTACTTTGGTCTCTCTCTCTCTCTCTCTCTCTCTCTTTCTCTACTCTCCAAAATGACAACCCATCCTCCCGATCTTCGTATTTTCCCACCCGGCCCTCTGCAACCAGGCGGCAATCAGGTGATCCGGAAACGGCTGAGGTTGCGCGTTTCCGGTTCCCCCTAGGCGCCCGGAAATGTTTTTGGGTGTTTTTATCGTCGCGAAAAGTGAGGAAAAGTGATTTTACCATAATCCCCTGCCCGGCCTCGCCACCACCGCACTTTTTCGGTATTTTTTGGGGGCCTCCGAGGCCGACTGGGGGCCAATATTTAGGCCTAAATTGAGAGGGTGGGATTAGCGCACCAGAAAAAGTTTTGTTTATTGGAAGGGACACGCCGTATTCTATAGTAATCTGGGGGCAATAATTAACCACTCTCTCGTTCCGTTACACACCTAATTTCGGGGATATCCGAGGAGGGCAGGCAAACAGCTTTGTATGTGGTTTTGCGAGGAGAATGGCGAGGTGGGGAGGTCCAGGAGAAGAATGCGGTATTTTTAAAGACATTGACCTGAAAGGACCGGGTCCATTCTAATCTTATAGAGGAGAAGAATAGGTTGATCCCATAGAAAAATTATTGTAGGCCCACATTGAATATCGGAGAATACGAATCATAAAGGCGCACACGTGACGAGGATTATTTGGGTTTATGAGAGTTTTTTTTGTGGAAAAAATTCAGATGAATAGAAAATCAAAAAGTGCACTCAATACAGGAAAAATTGAGGCATGCTAGCGGAGATGCTTTAGGAATTTTTGGGACAATTTTAGGGCTTTAAGATAAAGAAAACGGAAAAAACCATGAAGAAATCACGGGCATGCGAGCAACGATTATTTGGGAAGCTCTGCTAGGGTCATGTTGGCAGAGGAGCTTTGGGCAATACGGGCATTCGGGCATGCGAGCAGAGATATTGAGAAACTCGGCTGGGGGGCATGCTAGCAGAGTTTCTTTGGGAAATTTACTGATCCTAAAATGGCAAATATTCGTAAAAATCGGGACGTGCGAGCAGGGTTTCTTTGGGGCGATCGCTAGAATCTTAAAATCGTATGTCGAAAGCCGTTATGAATCCATTTTTTCAGAAATCCGCCGGAAGAGCATCTACGACCTGTCGCCGACGATCATCAAGGACGTGCTGGGGTCGCTGATGGCCCGAAAAGTGTGGCATTTACTGTAGGTTTCAAGGGTTCGAAAATCGAGTTTTCGTTTCAGGACCCCACTGCAAACTCGTCGACTAAATGGTGCGCTGAACCGGATGCCGGAAGGTTTCTACGATCGAGTTTGGGGGATTCTGGAGCGAGCCGATCATGGGATTTCGATCGCACATCAATTATTGCCCCAGGTACCGTACTCTATCAATCTCTGCTGTCTCTCTCTCTCTCTCTGGCATTTCGTCAATTTTTACATTTTTAGCAACCTACCCTGCTCGACATGACCAAATTCGAGCTGAACTTTGCCTACCGTATCGAGCAGATGATGAGCCAGATCGCCCATCCGGAGTATCGACAGATTTTGGTGGAGGTATCGTAGCTTCGGTCAGGGTTTAGCGGTTGAAAACTGCTTCATTTTTCCTATATGTAGGTGAAAAATAGCCAGTGAATTTGGAAGAGTTTCCGCAAAGATCTTTGCTAGTTCACCCCATTCAAGCGTTTTTCTGACCTCACTAGTCCAATTTTAGTCTCGCGGCGGATTTGGATTCTAAGTCTATTTTGTTGCCGGGATTCTGGAACTAAAATAGCCAGCAAAATCCGTTGTGACGACGCACGCCGCATCGTCGCGACCATCCGGATTGTGACGCTCCGGCGGATTTCACCTTTTTCACCGCCCCGGCTATTTCCAGATATTGCAATTTTCCGCGGCTTAAAAGGGGCGCCCTGTAGTCGGCAGTCAGCAATAGGGCATGAGAAAATAGCCATCTCTTCAAATTAGTCGGAGGGGAATCCCTTGGAAATTGGCGATTACTGTGGTCCACTAGGCCGGGGGCACCTTTTAGAAATCAGCGCCCAGAATTTCCAGCCCGACTGCCCGGATGAAAAGGTCGAATTTTCAGCCGGGGATTATGACAGCCCCGGAGCTTATCCGGGATCTGGCTGGCCATCTGGATTCTGGTGTTATTTCGAAAAGTTTTTGGCGATTGGGACAGCCTGAGAAATGTCGCTGAAAGGAGGTGCACGGCAGCTTAGTGGGGTAAAAATTTGAGCCGCGGGAACTCTAGGGCTGTTTTTGCGTTGCTACATTGTTGTTGCGATGGACTGGCAAAATCCGACTGCACTTTTTGAGATTTTCACGATATCCGAGGCGTTCCCGAGCACAATAGGTGCAGAAATAGAGGCTACGTCGGCAGACGGACTTGCAAAATACGGGTTACCGCTACATACGTCCAACTATGAGTCAACACGAGACAAAACGATGATTCCAAGCGAAGAATTGTATGGAAAAACAATGTTGTTTTTGAGACTTTTAGTTACTACTTTTACTTACTTTTCCACCGGAGCTTTCCGATTATCGGGGGGGGGGGGACTTTTTTCGATGATTCCAGCTATGCGTAGTAATGTAATAGTAAGTATTAATATAGTTTTTACTAAAATTTGATAATATTTAAAGTGGTAGAATTATCGAAAAACTTCGAAATTAAAAAAGGTCCCGAAGAGCCGATCCCCCAAAATCTCTGCTAGCTTGCTCAACGCATTCGGGTTTTAGCGCATAAACTTTTTTCGCGCGCAATAAAATACCATCTGGTTATTATTCAGAGCGCTAAAAACGAAAAAAGAATTTAATTTTTAATTTAGTTTTAGAAAAAAAGACGCAATTTTCAAAAGAACCGGCTTTAAAAAAGCAATTTTGACGTTTCGAGAAACCGGGTTATCATCTTCGACGTGTTTAGCCCCGGATTCCCCAGACATCTCTGCTAGCTTGCCCGGCCGCTCACGTTTGGTGCTCCGTCAGTTAAATTCGCTTGTCAAAAAGTGACTTCTAGCGGCAACACGATCCTCCGGGTTAGAGCCTCTACTTATCGGAATTCCGCAAGGATCCCTGCTAGCTAGCCGGTTTAACTGGATCACCTTAGAATTTGTCATTGTGCAAGTTTCCTAGCTAATTGGAAAAGGAGGCATAAGAAACCTTAGTACTCAACCCGTAATGTCAAAAAATTTCCCGCCTCCCCTTCCTTTTCCCCGTTCCCATATTTTTGTAGAATTGCTGGTTTTCAAATTAAAGTACCCCCTCCATCGCTGGCTATGCTGACTTTGCCGCGTCAGCAAAGCCGATTGCGGCCTTGTCAGCACCTGTCGACCACCGGATTATTACTGTAGTCGGGGCACCTTTTCGCCAAATTTTGCGCGATTATATGAGGCGCGACACTTCAAATCCCCAATTTCGATGGGGCCTATTTACCGGCACTGGGTGATTTTACGACGATTTCCTGGCCCTTGGGGGAGCTTTAGCTTATGACCAGCCATATATTGCCTGGCTTATCCGGCTGCGGGGTCAGCTGCCGACTACAGGCTACATGGGGGAACCCGGGGCTAGATTGAAAATGGAAAAAAGGTATAGTAAGCAGGTTTTAAAGGGCCTGAAAAAGGCGGGAATCGAGCTCTCGGTGCGCTAGGTCTTTAGACAAACGCGCGTTAGGACAAATAAGTTGCCGTAATCAAATTCTAAGGGAACTGAAAAGCGCGAAAATCGACCCATGCTCTCGACTAGGTCTCGACAGCTACGTGGTGTGACAAATGACGCTTTGAAATAGATTTTAGCGCCATAGAAACTGCATTTTTGGCAAAACACCAGACGCAGACCCAGTCGACAGAAGGGGGCGATTTTCATGTCTTTAGGCTCTGTAAAGCGGCTGGAAAGGCAAAAATCTGACGCTATGGATTTCTGGCAATCTGCCACTTGGACGATATCTTCCTGACTCGGCTTCTTTAGCAGATTTTCGAGTCTTTATGAAGTTTTCGAGATGCTACTGTAAACCCACCGACTGCAAAATATCTGCCGGTGTTTTTTTCGTTTTACTGTAGCCCCGGATTCTTAAGATGTGCGCATAGATCAGACTCGTGCCCGGATGCCTTTTTCATATTGAGTAGGACCCACATGAAACTCCGTGAGATCCGGCCACAAAGCTGCAAATTCGCGTAAAAATTCAGAAAAAATAACTAGGTACTAATCCGCCTCCTCAGCTGACACCGTCTGTTGCTTGTGATTGGGGTGGAAAAAAACAGACACAAGGAGCCGGATTTGGCCAATGTTCTGGCAACGCCGATTTTGGGTGCCCTTTCGGGAGTCATGTAGCCGGTAAAAAAATTTGCAATTCGAGGATACGGTATTCGGGGGGGCAGTTTAGAAAGTGTTGGCGAATTGGGGAAATTTTTAGAGCTGAAAAGGCCATTTTGTTTCGGAGTCAAATGGCCGGTAAAAAATTTTGAATTTAAAGTAACAGGATACGGTAATCTATTTTTCCAGCTCCTCTGCATCATCGCCACGATGCTCGAGCGGAACCCGGAGATCCACTTTGGCGAGCTGCTTGACTGCGACGAGATGATCAAGCAGGCGTTCATCATCTACGCGACTTCGGCCGGAATCAAGGATACGGTACGCTTTCGATGCTGAGAATATAGAAATTCCAATGGCTTAAAACGTAAAATTAGGTTTTAAGCTTTTTAAAATCCATTTTTTTTTCAGCGTGACCTGACCCCGTTCTACCAGCTCGACAACATTGCGATGAACACCAGCACGGCCACGTTTATTACTAAGGTGAATTTTTAGGGTTTTCGGGCCGCGCGTACTTATGTATTAGGTTGGTCGGAAAGTAGCTAGAAGTTTTTTCACAATTTTCCATAGATATTCTCGAAGTCAATCCAAAATCTAATAGTGGTCCAACTATTTGATGTGTAATCTCCTTTCCTTATTTACGAATGCTGCGAAATGGGATACTACGCCCTTACAAAATAGATATGAGTGATTTAGCGAAATTTGAGTAAAACAGCAATATCTATGCGTTCACAGTACCGAATACGGCGCCTTTTTGTGTGCATATGTGCAACATCATTTGGCATCTACTGACACCAAGCAGCAAAAAATCCCATGGCAAACCGAGAAAAAACACCCGATTATCAAAAGTCCTCGGGGTCAAAATTTTCTGGACCGCTGCAAAGAAAGCCAAAAACAAAAATATTGGCTGGAGGAAAATTTTTGTTTTCTTTACTGAATATAGCACTAACCTTGACGCATTCGGGAATATAAATCTTGGTTACGCGAAGCCGCTCGTTTTTGCAAAAAAAATGCGCTAAAGTTCCATTCTAGTTACTTTCCGACCAACCTAATACATAGCGTTTCTTTATGCATACTTTCGGATTTTTCACGATATAAAATTGAAATTTAAATCCCGGTTTTCCTTCGGCGGCGACATCGCCTAAACCGCGATTATGACTAGGCGAAAATCCGTCAGCGTTTTGGCGGTATTATTGGTTGGAAAGGAGTGAAAAATCACGATTTTGTTTTTCGGAAATTGTGATAATTTGTCCTTGGGATGCAAAAAGTTATGTAATGCTGTACTTTACTAATGGAAATTGAAAAATTTGGTTTTTTACCTGTAACTAGGTGCAATTTTAACGTGGAAATTAAAGGTAACAGAAAGCACGAAAATCGACCCCTATTTCGACTAGGTCTGGACAGTTTCTGTAAAAGGGAGCACTAACTTTCAGATTCCGAAGCCAGCTGTCACGCTCCCTTTAAACCCAAATTTTGCCAGCCCTCAAAATCCGCATGACTCGGCAGCAGCATCGCCTACACCCCACGTGCACCATCGGGCATCCTCCAAAAAAAGTGCAGCCCCAAAATCCAACCCGGCGTCCCGGAAAAGTGTTATCATTTCCTCTCTTCTACCCAATCCAACAAATCCATCTCTACTTTTCCGGGGCCAAACATGCAAAATCCGGTCTCTCTCACTCTCTCTCTCTCTCTCTCTCTTCTCGATTCCTATAGTCCGCCCCGGGCACACCGGCTACGACCCACGCCGCCGTGCTGACGTCTTAAACGGATTATTTTGTAGCTCCGGAAAAGTTGTGTATTCAAAAAAGAAGCCAAAGCGCCCCGGAAATCCGCCAATGGCCCATTCAGACCGCCGCGTGGGTTTTGAATAACCTCTGGCAAATCAGAATGGGATGAGCATAGAATGATTGGGCGAAAAATTGGGGGATTAAGCAGGGTGACGAGGGTGTGGGGGTGGACTTGTTGAAGGTGTTGGAACGATACAGTTAAAGGGACGGGCTCGGCAACCTTATGGATTTTTTGCGTACGAGAGAGGGCAAAAGAAAGGGTATGATAACGAGCGAGAGAAAGAGAGAGAGAGAGAGAGAGAGAAACAAGTTTCGAAATCTAGCCGTCCTAGCTCTTTTAAAACAAAATTTATTGAATTTTTCCAGGCAGTGGTCGAGCACGTGCTCCAAGGCCGCCACCTCTCCCGCCCGATCGACATCTTCCACCCGTCGAGAGGTCGCGAGCTGTCCGCCCAGCAAAAGCCGCCAAGCGGGGATATGAGCCCGACGGGCGAGGCGGAGAAGTGCAAGGTACAGTAATGAAGTCGATTTTTCCGATTTTTGAAATACCGTATTTCGCACGGAGGCGTTCTTTGGACAATCGAAAAAATGGGCACTTGACCTTTGCGTAATTTTATAGGGGACGAAAAATTAGCATTTTCTGCTAAAAACGCGAAAAAGTTTTTTACCTTGAAACCAGGGTTGAAAAGCCGCTTCGCGACTTTTCAACCCTGGCCCCGTCTCGGACCCCATACTATTCTGCCCTTTGCATAATTGTCCTCCATTCAGAAAACGAAAAAAATGAAAAGAACCCTTTCGGCCTCTTTATATAGGCGACCACCCACTTCCGCTCTATGCTAATTATCCCTAACAAAGAGGTTTTTACAAAAACCTAAATTTAATAGCGAAAATGGCCAATTTTTAAACAGCTGATATGTGTGCAGTCATCCCTAGACCATTACGCACCTAATGACGTATCATACGTAGCCTAATACCCGTCCCTTCTTGAGATATCCTCCGGACAGACAGACGGAAGTGGATGCAAAGTGGCACACACACAGACACACAGACTCCGTGTGACAGCAGGTTACAGCACATGCCAATGCCTTTTATAGACCCTAAAGGGGCTGGGAAGTCTAGGGTTTCTAGAAAAACCAGAAAATCAGATTTTCACCGTTTTCAAGGACACGGAATCGCTAAGTTCTGCCCCTTCTGGCGATTAGGTCTACCCAGCTACAAAATACGCCATTCAGGAGCATTTTCGTATCACTAGGGAAAGTTTTACGCTGAAATTCAAATGCGAAAAATTGTGTATTTTGGGGCTGCGCATAGCTGTCGAGGCCTAGCCAAGGAAAGGGGTCCTTTTGTCGCGTTCCTGTCCCTTTAAAGCTAGAATAATAGACTGCTAGAGCTTGTTTTCCGATCTAGCCAGCTAGCCAATGGCTTCACCAAATCCGCTTCACAACAAATTACGCAAAGGTCTGGTGGCCGGGCCGGTACTATTGTTCGAAAGGTGCCAAAGAACGGCTTCTCACGATTTATCAAGTTTAATGGAATCCCGTTTGTGTATAGAGTCGCTTCCCGTCCGTGTACTAGCCAAATACCCCTCGATTCGAATGCCAAGAATTTTGTAAGATTTCACCCCGAATTTCTTGGCTCTGTCCTTTAACGCTGTAAATATTATTTCCCCTCCCCGATTTCTGATTGCCCGAGTTGGTGGTGATTTTGTGAGATTTGGAATTTGTGCAGAGATTAGATTAGATGAGATGAGATTTCCTGTGGATTTTGTGCCCTTCAGATTTGCACTGTGGACATTGGCCTTTGGATTTTGTACCCAGAATTTGCATAATTTGGAAATGATGAAATTCTCGTGTTTTTTTAAGAGACTCGGAAATTTGCATAATTTTAAATTACCAAATTACTAGATTCCCAACTTTTCGGCATTTTTATGGTTTTTAGCGCCGTTCACGGGTTTCTAAATTTCAGAATTGCTAAATTTTCAATTTTTCCGGCGCTTTTAGTTTCTAGAATTATGAAAATTAACTCTGGCTCTCGGATTCTGATTGTTTGCATCGTAATTTGCATAACGCAAAACTTTTCAAGAATTACGCAAATTTCGGACCCAGTTTTGCTCACCCTTTTGCTCAATTTTTACATGCCATTTTTAGCTTTTGTAAAATTACCCTGTGCCATTTCCCCTCCAGATTTTAGTGCCATTTATTGCCAAAGTGTTAGCATTTTTTTAGCCATTTCCCCTCTGTGTATTTAGATCCGATTTTTGCATCACTTTTTTAATTTGAATTTTTTGATGCTGTGCATTTTTTGTAATTTTGTAGTTGTCAACAAATAAATCCATTTCTTATCAACAAGTTTATTCGGAAACGCATTTTCGAGAGATCGTATTTCTAGAGATCGGCGGAGAGAGATCTTTTCGGGGTACAGAGACGAGCGGGCGAGGGAGAGCAACAGTTTTGCAAATTGGAGAAAAAATAGGATCAATAAATTTACAGTATATTACAGTATACAAAAATAATTAAAAACGACAAAGCGAACTGGTGGCCCCAAAAAACAACAGTTTTTGGGGCCTTTGACAGATCAGTTGGTGTTCCAGCAACAGCGAGCCGGGCGGGGGAAAATTGAAATTTTTCGAATTTTCCAAGGGCCCTGGTGGAGACTACCGTACGCTTTTGTAGAAAAATAGATTTTTTGGAAATTTTGGATTTATGCTCAATTAAAAAAATTTTAGTTCCCAAAAAAACGTCGAAGTTTCTTTTGCAAATTTTGCATAGAAAATCCATTTTTTATAAATTTAAATTATTTAAATTTTGGCTGCTGACCCCTTTAAAATGTAAAAAAAAATAATTTTTATAAACGTTAAAAACGTTTAAAAAATCGGAATTTTTGGTTAAAATTCTAAAAAAGTCCTTTTCGAATGCAAAATTTGCATAACTTCCCTCGATTTAAACCCCCCCAAAAGCTCTCGAATTCTAAATTACGACCATTTCTACAATGCGACTACGGTAGTCTCCACAGGAGACGAGGCGGCGCGCGTTCAATTCAGGAGATTTCGACATTTTTGCTGCCCCAGGCGGGCCGACATGGCCGCCAAGTTCAGGGCGGGGGCAACATTAAGGGAACGCGGGGTGCGGTAGATGAGGGATCCCCATAGGGGATACGGTGGGTGATGTTCGCGGCGGTGGACGGGTACATGTGACAACCAGCGAACAGGGAAAGAGCCTTTCGACAGCCGGCGAGCTGCTACTTAGAAGCCGAGCTGCTGGAGGAGGAGCTGGCGCTGGAGGGTGAGCAGCATCTCGGGGGTGTACAGCGGCATCTGGAGAAGGAGGAATTAGGTGTGTTTCGTAATTTTTACAGCTTTTGCTTAGCTTTCTCAGCCTAAGCCAAGCCCAAAGCAAGCCTAAAACCAAGCCTAAGCCAAGCGGAAGCCAAGCCTAAGCCCAAGCAAAGCCTAACCAAAGCCAATCCTCACCTGAAGCACAGGGGCCGGCGCCTGGAAGGCGGGCTGGAAGGCCGAAGGCTGGACGAGCGACGGGAAGGAGGTCAGGAGGTGGAGGTACTCCTGGAGATCCCACGGCTTCTCGAGGGATGGAGATGGGGGAAGGGTGGCTGGGGAGGTGGTGCCCGACGAGTCCAAGGAGGACGGGGGCGAGATCGAGACGTTGCGTACGCCCGAGCGGTTGTTACCGTAGTGCACCTCGGTGGTGGCAATGTCTAGAAAATCAGGGTTTTTATATGGATTGTGGATGGCTGGGACTTTTAAAGGCCCACCGAAGGCAAAAATCCGTAGATTTGAACGTTAAAGGAGCGCGAAACCCACCATTCTTTTCCGGGCACTCGCCCTTTGGGACGATGCGGAGTCGCATGTTTCCGTTTTTCGAGCGGATCGTCTGGAGGAGCGCGTCGGACTGGTCGGGGCGACGGTGGCGGAAGCGGCGGATCAGCGCCGAGGCACGCATCGACATCACGGCCGAGCACTGCAAGGCGGTCAGATTAGCATTCGGTTTCATTAAATTAAAATTTTACTTTAAATCGCTAGTCGGATTTTAATGGGTTCAAAGAACGGGTTTAAAAATTACCGTCTCGCAACGGCACTCGTTGAAGGGGCAGATCGGAGCATGACCTTTGAGAATGGCCTGCACGCCGTGGCCCTCGCATTTGCGGCACGTGAGGCGCTTCACTGGAAAGAGAAAGCGTTGAAACTCTACGATTAAAAATTGCGCCTATCGACGCTTATTTTTCAGGGTTACACGGTCCTTTAAATGCTCTCAAAACCCTTGAAAAGTCAGAAAAGCCCAAAATTCATGTGAAAAACCGATTTTTCGATTCAATGCAATTTATAGAGTAAAAATTGAATCTTTTCCTAGCGTAATTAGTAAAAAACTGGAATTTTTCTAGGTTACACGCCCCTTTAAAATCCCAGGAAAGCTCAAGAAAGTTACGACAAAATCCGAAAAAAGGGAAAAAAAAACTGATTTTTCAGCTAAAAATGACAATTCCAAGCTGGAAATCGCGAGTTTTCATACCGTAATTGGTAACAAAAAGGGAAGATTCAAACCTTGCACGCCCCTTTAAAAGCCAAAAACCCAAAAAAACGTACTGGCTTTCCTCCTCGAAGCAGTCGTCTCCTCCAGGCAAGCATCAAGCGGCAGCATGAAGTTCATCTCGAAACGGGGAACCGTAGTGTACGTTAGAGTACGTTCACTGCTAGAGGTTACGGTAGTCGTCAACCACAAGCGGAATGTAACGGAACCAAGAAAGTGTTAGTCTTATATAGCCCAGATTAGGGGCGTGGCCCGGATAAACGTTTCGTGCTCATCGCAAAGGGCCCGAGGGGGGTAAATCCCAACTTTTTCGGATTCTACCTGCCCGCCCCGGGATTATCGCCGCGTCGACAGTAATCCCTAGGAGGGGCTGTCCAGAGGATTATGACGGAGCGGCTCAGGGTAGGCGAGAAAAACAGTAGAAATATCGGGGGGGAGACAATACTTGACATTAGAATGAGGCTTCGCATGGCTTCAGTTGGAGAGAGAGCGAGAGAGAGAGAGGGAGAGAGAGACTCTCTCTCATGGGAAGAGTGAGAAGATGAAGCCCTAGAACCTTTAATTTACCGCTTTTTACCAGCACAATGCGAGGGAGGGGCCACAGGATTTTCGGGGGCCCATTTTTTCGGCAGGTCAATCTGTGAGGCCAGTTTTCGCCAGCCCCGGGTTTTCCACCGACCACAAAGAGGAAGTGCAAGAGGAAGATGACCAAAAATCGGCAGAAATTTTGTAGGCTGAGCTACAATAAGATACGATACGATATGGCACGGTAGTACGGTACTTTCCGCGGGATACCGTAGGCGAGAGAGAAAAAGCGCTTTCAAAAGTTGAAAGAGGAAGTGCAAGAAAAAGATGATCAAATAATCGGAAAAATTCTTGTAGGGTTTTTGCTCATACGTTTAGCTACGCAACGACGCAGCGCTTCGATAGTTCAGCTACGTACCGCTACCCATTCGTACGGTATATACGATTAGC